ATTGATTCAGTGACTGGGGTAATCGGGATGGGTGTGTCAGAGGCAGTGCGATTGGCACAGGATAGAGCAGGGTTTAGGGCTGCTGTACATAGGGTCGCTATGAGTTGCAAACGACTTGATGGCACATAACAACAACAACGTTTTGAGAAAGTTCCAGACAACTGTCCTTCTATAGTTGCTATATCTTTTTACGTTCTCACCAGCAATGAATAAGAGTTCCAACACAACCTCACCAGCATTTGTTGTTTGCTTCCCTTGTTGAACTTTACTGTTGTTGTTAGGGTGAGGTAATATATATTATCTCAGAGTTGTTTTGATTTGCATCTCTCTGACAGCTTGGAATTTTTAACATTTCTTCATGTCTTTGTTTGCCATCTGAATGCTGGCTTTGGTGAAGTGTCTTATTTGTATCCTTTGCTCATTTTGTGATTGAGTTATTTACTTTTTTCTTGTTGAGGTGCTGGAGTTTAGATGTGAGTCCTTTATCAGATATGTCATTGCCAGATATTTTTTCACAGTCTGTGAGTTTCCTTTTTATCCTGTTAGAGATACTTTTTTAGTGTTAAAACTTACTTTAAAATAATGTGAAACTCCTAAGAGCTGCAAAATAGTTTAGACAACTCTTATGTACTTCTCACTCGACTTTCCTTATTGATATCTTCCTTAACCACATTACTTTTTTTTAAATTTCACATTGATGTTGTTACAGTATTATAGACCTTAGTAAGATGTCAGTGGTTTTTATATGCACATGTGTTTTTTGGTTCCATTGTATTCTTGAGATTTTGCAAACATACACATTTGCTCATACTCACAAATCATCATGTTACCTCTTTGTATTGATACCCTTCTAGCAATCGTACCTCCTTGTGTTTTCCTTCTCTATAATTTTGTCATTTTGAGACTTATTTAAAATAGAGTCTATAGTATGTAACCTTGGTTTTAGCTTCTTTTTCCACTCAAAACAGTACTTTTGTGATCAACAGAAATTGTGTATATCAGTTGTTTCTTTTTATAGATTTTTTACTCCATTTTTAAAATATAACATACTTCAACTATTTGCGTATTTAAGGATATTGAAATTGTTTTCAGTTTTACAAATGATACTATGATATTACATATAAAAGTGCTATAACATTTATGTGTATATTCTTTTTAACATGTGTTTCCATTTCTTTCAGGATAAAAACCCAAGTATATGACTCCTGGATCATATTATACATATATTCTTAATATTTTAAGAAATGGCCAGTTTCTAGAGTGACCATATAATTTTAAATTTGAGCAGTATTAGAGATTCTGTTTTATCTATATTTGACAAAATATTTTTCAATTTGAAAAATCATATTTGTCAATAATTTACAATCACATACTTTTTTATAAAAATTGAGAACAGTGGTTTACATTTTCTAACAAAATATTTATGAAAGCATTATAAATAGTTTACCATAGACATTAAATTATTCTCATTGCTGTCAATTCAGACCTGACTAATAGCTGACCTTCCAGCAAATTTCCAGAGTTGTAAATCTCATGAGAGATTTCCCATCTTCCTCCCCAAGAGCTGCTGGTGAATCAAACTACCCGAGAGGACATCAGAGGTGCCTCAGGTAGAGGGCTGACTTTCAGTAGTTAGAGGCAGCATTCTTTCAGTTATTTTATGCAATTGGATCATGTTACCTTAGATTTCAACTTTTACAATCAAGGAATGTAGAGTAAAAGGTGTTCTGTATGCTACATTAATTAGACTGGTAACCATTGTCAGAGATGTTGGTGGTTAAGTTTATTTTCTGTCGTAATTACTGCATGTGCTTTCTTTTTGTGTTTCAGTGCCAAACCTAAATCAGAAATCCACGTATCTATGACCACTCCAGTTTCTGTGTCTGTGGAGACAGTTTCTAATCAAAATAATGACCAGCCCACCATTGCAGTCCCTCCCACTTTGCAGCAGCCCACACCAACCATTCCAACAATGATTGCAGCAGCTAGTCCTCCATCACAGCCAGTGGTCGCCCTCTCAACCCTTCCTGGAACTGTCCACATCACTCCTCCTGTCACCACCATTGCAGCTGCCCCACCACAGTCAGCAGCTGTGTGTGGCAATCTCTCTTCTGCTCTGGGTCCACCTGTGCCAGAGATAAAAGTGAAAGAAGAGGTAGAGCCAATGGACATCATGAAGCCAGTTTCTGGTGAGTTCATTCACAGAATACTCTTCATTTCCCGATGGTGCTTTTCCTTTTGCTAACTCACCTTCAAGTCTTCATAGCCCTTAGCTAGCAAACCTAACTCCTTGATCCTCTTTGAAAATAATCTCCACTAGAATTCACTTCAGAATCTGTGTTTATTGAAAGGACTTTTCCCTTTGAGTGATTTGTTTGCATTTTATTTCATTAGTTTTGAATAAATAATTCCTTCTAAACCCCAAAACTGTTTTACTGCTTTCTGTAACTAATTTATCACCCAAAAGTATGAGCTAATCATTTTTTAAAAAATTTTTTTAATTCATTGAGAAAATAGTCTTATATTACCTGCCATTAATGATACATTATATAAATGAGGACATTATGTGATTTGGATGTTGTATGAATACTGTTGGCATCCCCAAGTTAAAACTTTTGTTCCTAAGGCATTCTTTTAAGTCAGATCTTCAAATAAATCAAAACAGTTAATACAGTTCTTATCTAATGCTAGTTAGCCAGATGTTTGTCTTAGTACATACTGTACCTTTCTGTGCATAAAAGCATTAGAAGAACACTTTACTGAATACATATTTAACATCTTACATAAACTAAGGTATCCACATCATAATATAGTAATAACACTTTGATAAACATTACAGGGGTATGCCTGTTTATTATTATGAACCATTGTATCTGAAGTTCTTAATAGGCTTTATGGAGATTGGAATAGTGAATGTGGTTGTATGTTGTCTGAACAGATATGACTTTATTGTCATTGATGCAGCAGTATATTCTTAGAATACATTCAAAAAGAATTTGAAGCAAGAACATGAACATCTACGCCAATAATTGATGTAGCATTTTACACAACAGGTATAAGCAACATTAACGTTCATTAACAGAGAAATTACAAACAAAATGTGGTATATACATAGAGTAGCATCCATAAAGAGAAATGACCTGGCACAGCATAATGAACCTTACAGGTAAAATCAGTCAGTCATGAAAGGAGAAACACTGTATAATCCTATTTATATGAAAATTGTGAACTACGCAAATTTATGGAAACTAAAATTCATTATTACCAGCAACAAGAAGGGGGGAAGGAGCACATAGCTTTAAGTGCGTACAGCCTTTGAGCATGGTGGGAAAATGTAAAGACAGATGGGGTTTGTCGTTCATATGTGATGAACGTAACATCACTGAATTGCCTACATTAAAATGTTGAAGTATGTTTTGTTTTGCATATATATATGTATATTTCTATAAATAAATATGTGGTGGGGGTGGTGAGTACCATTGAGTCGGAACCAACCTATAGCTGACATTCCAGCAAGTTTTCAGAGGCAGTTAATTGCATGAGAGGAGACTGCCTATACTCCCACAGAGAGAGAGAGAAAGTGTGTGTGTGTGTGTGTGTGTGTGTAAATGTAAATGTGTCTGTGCCACTTCAAAAAATAGATTACCTATTGTTATGCAAAAAGAGATTACAGTTGGCCCTTTAGAGTAGTGAGAGAATAACTTCACCCTGAAACCCACAGCATCCCTTTTCAGCAGGAAGTAGCTAAGAGAATATGCCATCCCCTTTTCCTTATGAATCAGGGTGAAGTCTCTCTCAGGGAGGAGTGATAGGGTATGGCAAAGGACACACTGACAAAGGAGATTAATCAGAACTGGCTTTGACAAGCACTGTAGCAATTGGACAATTAAAACAGGCATTTGAGGGCAGAAGAAGAATGAACTGGGGAGGAGGGTAGAGAAAACAGTGCAACAATGAATGAATGAGAACTCAAAATCTCTGTAAATATTCATTAAAACTAATAAAATTTAATAATAATTAAAAAAAAAAGACCAACACGTGATCGAAAAAAAAGGAAAAAAAAGAGATTACAGTTGGGTTTTAAAACAGTCATTACCTGGGCATGAGATGGATTGACTCAGTAACTGAGTTAATGAGAGAGACAGTGAAATTGGCTCAAGATAGGGCAGGGTTCAGAGCTGTTGTATGTGGGATCGCTATGCGTCGCAGAAAACTTGATGGCACATAACAACTCTGTAAATAGAGATAGGTTTAATCATTTAAAAAAATTCATTACTTACAGTTGCCTTCATTTGAAACATCTAAGTCATCTTCTGATTCCTTTTCTTTTTCAAAACTGAATGCCAATAAGTCAACTTCATCTCATGAGGACCCCCTACTGGGTCACTGAGGTGGTAAATCTTCAGGGTGGAGAATGACATCTCTTTCAGGCTCTCCTGGTAGCACCGTTTACATCATACCCTGTGTCACGAGGGCATTCTTCGTAGTTCAGTATAGCTAAGTTAGAACCATGTGCCCAGGTTCACTATTATCTATAAATTCCAAAAGACACAGGAAAGATTATTCTTACCTCAGATTCTTTACATTTTATTGCCTGTAGATTTTTGAGAGGAACTTAAAAGGCTTACTGTGTAGTGAAGTAAAATTGTTACTGAAATTACTTAACGATCCAAAATGTATATATGAATAGTGATTTTTAGAACTGTTCATTAACAGTTTAATCATATTTTTCCTAAAATTTAAATTTCTAGTTAGTGAAAGGTCAATTTGGGGTTTTTCTTTTTTTACATTTTGAGAGAATTTTAAAGATAATTTTTTTAAGAGCACAAAGGTACTATTTCCAGTATAAAAAATTTCTAAACTACATTTAAAATGGAAAATAAATTATCTTATGACATTTTCCATTATTTTCTTAACTTTTGTGCATTTTTCATGTAATTTATTCACTAAAAATTGTGTTGGTACTGTGCTATTAGACGCCATCAAATCAACTATAACTTACATGTGGCTACTGTTTAGTGAACAAAACCTTGCCCTGTCCTGTTCCATCCTTACAGTTTATGCCATGCTCAAACCCATTATTTGGTTTGTTTTTAAATTAACTTTTTTTTATAAAAATTCATTATTACACATTTTGTCTTCTACCCCCAGCCCACCTCGGAATGCACCCCTTCTTCCAGATTACTGTCATATACCTAATCTCAGCTGTAGTGTTCATTATTTGTTTACCCCTTCCCTATTCTCTCCCCATCCCCCAACCTCGTCATCCTCCCTGTCTTTCCTATTTTGTAACAGTGGTGTTAGGTAATATTTTTCCTTTAATGATTATAATGTATCACTCAACATAATGTCCTCAAGGCTTATGTAATATGAGTTCATTGTCAGTGCTGTGTTATTCCAAGGTTTGATTATACCATCATATTTCTATCCCATTTTTTTGTTGATTGGCACTTAGGGGCTTCCATCTCTTTGCCATTGTGAATAATGGAGCAGTAAACATGGGTGTGTATCCATGTTTTGAGTTGGGGCTCTGGTTTCTTCAAGAATTGCTGGATCAGATGGTATTTCTGTGTCAAACTTTTTGAGAAAGTGCCAGACTACCTTGGATAGTGGCTATACCAGGGTTCCAATTTCTTCACAACTGCTCCAGCATTTGTTGTTTGCTGCTGTGTTGAATTTTGCTATTATTGCTGGCAGTATGCCAAAAGTTTTGTGAGACCAAGTTTTACCATCACTTCCTCCAAGATACAACCTTGCTGCACTTCCTCAAAAACAAATTGCATAGTCAATACTCTTACATAATACCACAATTCACTTTTTTTATTAGGTCTCTCTTAGTCATTGTCCAACTTTAACATGCATATGAAACAATTGAAAATAGTATGACTTGCATCAGAAACACTAAGTCTTTAAATTTATATCCTTTTTTAGCACTTTAAAGAAAACCCCGACATTTGCATAATACAGCATGCCTTTTGATTCACAGGTGGTTGCTCATACAAGTAAAATAAAATAATTGACAATTTCAGTCTTTTCTCCAAGTATCATTTTTGGTATTTTATTTTAAGCATTGATCTTTTAAATTATATTTACAAATATAAAAATATCTTACAATCAGTGATACATACACTGATACTAGTTTTCATACATAGCTAGGTTGCTCTTTTTACACATAGTCTTGTTTCATTGTCAGCTTTGACTCTCTGGTATTCTTTCCTCCAGATCTTCAGTATTTTATGTAGGGAAGTAACAAAATCTCTCAAGTTGTGTTTTGGTTATTTTTTTCCTTGGTAACCAGAGAATGTCTTAAGTTCTTCCTTATTTTTAAGGATCCTTTTACTAGATAGCAAATCATTGACAAATGTTTTTAAATGTCAGTACTTTAAAAATATTATCCCACTGTCGTCTAGATGACAAACCTTCAGACAATAAATCAACAGGTAATATGGTTGCAGATCCCTACTCACAGTAATTCAGTTCTTTCTTGCTACTTTGAAAATTATCTCTTTCTCTATCCTTTTTTTTAAACATCAAAAATACTTTTGTTTTCATTGTTGCTTATTTTAAGTTCTTCAGTCTTTCAGATTTAAAAAATGTACATTGTTGGCATGTGAAAGTTGGACAGTAAGCATGAAAGATGGAAGAACTGATATATTTGAATTAATTATACAAGCAGGATTTAGAAAGGGCCTTGGTGATAGGTGTATCATTGCTAATGTCAAGTGAATGTTGGCTGAAAGTAGTACAAGAAGGATGTTTATTTGTGTTTTATCAACTATGCAGGTGTATTTGACTGTGGATAACAACAAATTGTGGTATCTCAACAATGAGAAAACACCAGGCCAGTTGGCATTATCCAGATCAATGGACTAAAGATTGAGGTTGTTAACAATTTTATCTTGATCTGATCCACAATCAACACACTTGGCACCAACAGTCATGAAATCAAAAGACAAAGTGCTTTGGGAAAGTCTGCTGTCAGGGACTTCTCCAGAGTGCTAAAAAGCAAAAATATCAGTCTTATAGACTAAGGTACAACTACTCTAGGCCATGTTTGAACATGTTACCAGGCAGGCCCAGACACTGGAGAAGGACATTTTCATAATGTAAAGGGTGAGCAAGAAAAAGCCCTTCAACAAGGTGGAATGACACAGTAACTTACAACTGGGCGTACTGTTTCAGCACTTTGGAAGATGTTGCATTACTTTGTTTCTTGTACTGAGTCAGTTCATCAGAATTTACCCATTGGCACTAGACCACAACAAAGACTCTGGCTTTGCTGGCATTGGATAGCTTCCAGAAGATTTTTTTTAAAGTGCCATTTTAATTTGTTTTAAATGGAGAAAATACAGAGAAAGGACCACAGAAGCACAGATGGAGTCAGGAAAACATGTTTGGTGGCTATTGCAAGAAACAAGGCTTTTACCAAGGTATTCACAGTAAATGTGGCATGAAGTGATTATACTTCTAAAGTACATCTGAGAAGGTTTATTTCTAGACAGTATGCTTTGTGTCAGAATACAGTATCAAGGGCAACTCCTAGGTTTTTGGCCTTTGTAACTGGAAAAATTTTATTACCTTTGGGTAATGTAGAGAATGCTACAAGGTCACATTTTATATGCAAAGATTGCAGTTTGCTTCTGTAAAGATCTGTAGTCTTGGAAACCCTTTGGAGAAGTTCTTTTCTTTCCGCTATGGTTACTGAATTGGAATTAGATGATAGAAGGTTTTGGTACTTAATATGTGACATTTGGAATAAAAAAATTCACTAAAGATATAAATAAGGGCATTCTCAACGTTAATACAAATAGTGTGTAAAATCAAGAGACTGAGTGAGATGCCCTAGGAAATGCAGATAAAATGGGAATCAATAGATAAACTGATCTCCTAGAACCTTGTGGGGTTGAAAAGGAGGCAGAACTCAGAAATTAATGAAGTCACCTGAGGGGACAGAATCTACTTGGAGAATGGTGTGTACTGGAAAGAAGAGAAACCATCCGTTAGATCACAGACTTCTGAGAGATACTGTAAGATAGACAATGAGAATTGTTCCTTACATTTACCAACATGGATACCATGAGGATTTTCCCCTTCCTCCTTACATAGTGTATTTTGTTTTGTTGTTGTTGTTGTTACTGTTGATTGCTGTAAAAAATCAAGAAAGGTGTGTGTCAGGGCTATATCTTTTTTCCATACCTATTAATTCTGAATGCTGAGTAAATCATAGGAGAAGCTAGACTATATGAAGAAGAATGTGGCATCAGGATCTGTGAAATAATCATCAGAAACCAACTTAGATGATAAAACTTTGCTTAATGAAAGTGAGGAGAATTTAAAACACTTACTGCAGAAGATCAAAGACTACATCCTTCAATATGGAATACATTGAGAAGACAAAAATCCTCACCAGAGTACAAGTAGAAACATGGTAGATGTAGAAGAGATGAATGCTGTCACTTACTTCATCTTGTTTGGATCTTTAGTTCCAGCAGTAAGGAAATTAAAAGTTGTATTGCATTGGGAAAAGCTGTTGTCAGGGACTTCTCCAAAGTATTCAAGAATAGTGATAACAGTTTGAAGACTAAAGTGCAGTTGATCTAAATCTTTTTATACTTGCTGTGCAGCTGAAAATTGGGCATTGGCCAAGGATTACAGAAAAAGAAAATCGATGCCTTTGAGTTGTGTTGGAGAATACATGGACTACCAAAAGGATAAATAAGTATGTCTTAGAAAAGGTACAGGCAAAAACTTCATCGCACATATGTAGGGCATGTTGTTAAGATGGGCCGGTCCTTGGAACAGGAAATCATACTTGGAAAATTGGAGTCAAAGATGGATCCTCATTAAGATAGATTGACATAGTAATGGTGGGCTCTAGTATGTCAGAGCTGATTAGGCTAGCAAGATGGTGAGGTAAGAGCAAGTATGAAATATGTTCATTTGGAAAGATCCAATAGTAGTAATCAGAGTGCCTGCAGTATGGAGACAGGTTGGCATATGTTGAAAGCATGGGGGGAGAGACAGGGAAATACAGGTAGAAGGGTGAATGTGGTGGTGAAAACTAGCCGATTTCTTTTCATCGCCTTTTTTTAATGCCTGGTGAAATTGTCAACTCAGAGTAAAGATTGTGAAGATAGTGTTCGGGGTTTGAGGAACTAGGAGAAGGGAAGAAGAGCAACAACCCTATAAACAGCACATCTGAACCTTGCTTTCTCCTGCACCATCCTCACAATCTCTGAAATGCTGGAGTCCATTGCTGCAGTCACTGTGTCAACCCATTATGTTGGCTGTGTTACTCTCTGTCACTGACTCTCTACCTTTTTCAAAGGACTAATCTCTCCTGAAAACATACTCAAAATATGACAAAGTTTAATTATCCTTGCTTCTAAAGAGGACCTTGATTGCACTTTCTCCAAGAAAGACTTGTTTATCCTTTTGGCAGTCTGTGAGATATTCGGTCCTCTTCTCCAACCCCACTCAAAGACAGTGACTCTTCTTTCACTGCTCAACTTTCATATGCACGCAAAGTAATTGAAAATATTTTGGCTTGTGCAGGAGACTCAAACAAGATCCACACCTCACTCCATATACAAAAGCCAACTCAAGATGGATCATCGACTTAGGACTAAAGCCAAGGACTATAAACTTCATTCAAGAAAAGCTTGGAAGAACTTTAGTGGTCCTAATCCACAACATAAAAAGTCTTCCAAGTATCTTGGAAAATCTACAACCAGGAGAAGATAAAATAGATGAATGGGACCTTCTAAGAATCAAATCCCTATGCACATCCAAAAACTTCT